GATTTCGTAAAGGACTCGTGTTAGGAATAAATTTATGTATTTCTGACAGCAAATATTAGTAGCGGCGAGAAATATCTGATATGTTGATGGGAATTAATCTTTAAGTGTCTGCCCAGTTTTGATCGGAAAATGCTTTACTTAAACCTTAAACAATTTTTGTGTAAACAATTCATTATATCTATGTAATACTAAATTATAGTCATGGAATTCTAATTTATAGTCATGCAATACTAAATTCTAGTTATGTAATACTAAATTTTTCACCTACTGTAACCATTTTGTTAATACAACTGTTCACACAATACAAAGCCGAAATGCCACTCAATGTAGAGTGTTACTGTTTGAGGTTGTATGATCTATCAACATTGTGTATCTGCAGACCGTAGCTGAGGAAATTCTCGAGAAAACTGCATGAGGATTAGCAAAACCGTACAAGTCACGCATAGATCATTTAAAGTAAAAAAAAAAACTTCTTGAAATCGAAATCTTCTCTAAACTTGGTCCATGGGTCACTCATCATCTGAATTGTTATGGTCCGGTTCCTTGTACCACGGTGATAGTCCAAGGTAGAACCAATAAAGAAGAACTCGAACACGTATATGGAATATTACAAACAGGAATATATACAGAGAAGTAGAAAGTTTTAGTACGAACAATCAGGTTTAGTAGTAAATTGTCTGAACGCGACTCTGTTTCGGACAGCCTCTGACTCGACTGACTGACTCGCTCGCTCTGGCTGGCTGACAGACTCCTGACGGACCTCACTCCAGACTTCAGACTGAACGGTATTTAGTCACCCCCCCACGAGGGTATCATGTGGCACAAGGCTGGTTTAACGTGGGATCTCCGAGCCCGTGGGCTCGGCCTAAAATATGCCCTTTGAACCCGTATAAACGGGTTCAGGGTCGGTTTACTTCCCCGAAAGAGACTCCGACCTTCGGCGTAGCCTCCATCGGGTTCCTCGCTGCCCGAAGCCAGAGAGTTCAACCGATCAGCCGGTCAGCCGGTCGCCCGACTTCGGACTGAACTCCCTGCTTCCTCTTGAGGCGCAGTATTTATTACGTATGGAATAGTCCATTATGTTATTATGGGTAAGGTCCCATAACATGAATACTTCTCAGTTTAATCAAGGATCTATTCTCTTCTCAGAATTGACTTTTTTTCTTTTTTTTTTTAATCATTTCACCCCAAGCAAAGACGGAATGCCACTAGTATACAAAGGCATACAGTGAGCGAAAGTGAGAGAAAAGACTGAGTACAGTGAAGGTTGAAGAAAGGACAAAATATAAACGGGATTTAAGAAGATAGAAGATGGCAATTGACGTTGCATTTAATTTTTGAAGATTGTAGGTATCAAGGAATCAAGTAAACGGAAGGGAGTGGCGGTTGCATTTAGCTATTCCAACAGTAAAAGGTGGGACCTAAATGCCAATCTAGTATGACGCTTAAATTCAATTATTTTAAAAAAGTGAAATGAGACATTCATTGTATTTAGTTACAGGCCCGTCTTGAAGGTGTCCATAAAAAGAAACATTCAGAATTAATTTTCACCTCTTCGCAATTAATAAACTGTTTCTCCTTACAAATGCTGCAAATAATTTGAAAGAATGAGGAGCAAGATCAAGAGACTAAGGCGGATGAGGCAAAACATTCATATTTCAAGCCATAATCTTTTCCTGATGGACTCGGGCGTTATGTGGTCTTGCATTATAGTACAGGAACCATTACAATTTACCAATATGAGGACTTTTTTCTGCAATTGTTTCAGCTGTGTTTCCTACTAAAAAAAAAATAATTCTCTGGATCAACTATTTTGGTTAAGCATTTTTTGTTAGACACGACACACTTCATATTCCATCAAATGGAGAGCATGACTTATTATAATCACGTGATAATCCGAAATATTCTGGCCGCCATATTTGTGATCAAAAGATCTGGGGGTAATGTGCAGAAGAAATCCAAATAGCCTTAAAAACGGCCGGGGGCGTGGCCCCGCCGTGCCATTGACCCCAGGGTACAAAGAAAAATCAGGACAGACTCATTCCTTCGTTTTTAACAGAAAACGGTTGATAGAATAACCCGTTTGTGCCGCCTACGAATGCATATAAAGTCATTTGTGGTGAACAAGAGAACAGAAGCCAGCCGACATCTGGCAGAGTGGATTTACGGATATTAGGACGTAAGGCTCTGGAAATTTGCAACAGTTTTTCTTTATTTTTGCTACGAGGTATAGTTCTGGTTTGTGAAGAGATTCTCCTCTGTCAGTGCGTGTTAGCCATTGTCATTTTTGTTCGAAAGAATCCACTTTTCATCAATGGTGACTATCCTATACAGGAAAGTTTCGGTAGCAATCTAAAGAATGATCTGTAATGTTATCGATGCTGACTTAACATCTCGACTTCAGTCACTTCTCATGTGACATGTTTTCTACAAATGGTAACTGCTCTCATGAGCTTTTTCTTTCCTGGTGTCCCGACTACATGAATTTAAACGCGTTACTAGATTAATATAAAATTAATTTTAAAATCATATCAGGGCTGGAGTTGCCCAATCCTCCAGCCTCGACATTATTATTTTAAAATCAATCCAAAAGTCTTTTTCTTTGGGTGTGGGATTCCCTCTGTCTTTTCCACAAATATTTTCACGGCAAAAACTCTGACGAGCCTTTTTTTTCCTGGTGCACCGACTACATGAATTTAAGCGTGCTACTAGATTGGCATTTAGGTCCCACCCTTTTACTGTTGACATTGGTAAATATAACCTCCACTTCTACTCCAACAGTTTCTTTCCTCGTAAATTCCGACCTTGGAATTCTCTCCCTCTCACTTGATTCCATGATAATTACAATCTTGAAAAATTTTAATACAACACCAGTCATCCGAAAGATCAACAATCAGCCAAATAAATTAGATTATTTTATTAATAATGAGGTTAGGTATTATCTTGACTAAATATTGATTAGATTATTTTATTAATAATGAAGTTAGGTATTATCTTGACTAAATATAAATTAGATTATTTTATTAATAACTAGCAGCATGGCCCGGCGTTACCCGTGCTTGATTCAAAAATCGTACGACTCATACACCAATCGCTATCACTTGACTTAAAATATTTTTACCCTTCCTTGCATTTAAAGGAGTGCCCTTTGCCGTGCTGATGTTGCTACAGACCTTACTTCTTGCCTATCTCACACTGCGAATTTTTTCTAAGTTCCATACTAAACATTAAATCTGTTACGAAAAAAGAACTAAACAAAATAAATACAAAACGATCAGCTTTAAAAAAGGACTCGTAACTGGAAAAACCGAATGAAAAAAGAATGTTAACAGCAAATACTTATTCACACCCAACCCAGTTCTGCGGAATCAGAATCAACGTTGAGTTTAAGCAAGCGAATGAGACAATTGGAGTAAAGTGCCATGCAGAGTTAAATTTTTCCCACTTGTGACCAATGCAGCTATCGATTTTTTTTTGCATGCTAGCATGCTAGTTAACATTCGTGTTAGTCAGCTGTTGGCTCTCACGCTGGCTAATAGAATCTTTCTGCCTATTCGTGGCAGCCAGCTATAGGCTCCCATTCTGGCCAGTAGAAAATGGCCGCAAACTACATGAAAAGTGCCGTAGAAGCATGAAAAAATCGATTGTTTCCACTATCGATGGGAGTTGGGAAATGCAAAGTCGGTTTTAGTCTTCCCACTAACTTGGAGCATGTGCATGTAAATTTTGGTGCAAATCCGTCGAAAATTGCGGCCGTGCATTTGTTACAAACACACACACACACACACACATCCTGCCTTTTACAGATAGAGATGAAGTTAGATATTATCTTGACTAAATATAAATTAGATTATTTTATTAATAATGAGGTTAGATATTATCTTGACTAAATATAACAATTAAAAAACAATCGTTTTTCTTTTCTTATTAGAAACATTTCATATGTCCAATAATAATGGGATTAAGATATAAAATTAAAAATTAAATATATATATATATAATTAAAATAAAACCAGCGATATTATTTTGTACCGAGGCCCGACGAGGCAATAATAACATTTCTGACAAAAATAAACGAGGAACGGGGTTTAAATGTTTAAATGTGCTGAGTTATTACACAAACAAATTACTGGCTTTTTTATTAGCATGACATTCCACGGCAAAAAATAAAAAAAAGAAATTCCAAGAGGAATCGGGACCCTTTGCGACAGGAGATTGACATGCTTTAAATGTAGCGTTGAGAAGAATAACAAAGATGGGACGGTTTTGTGCTGGAATAAGGTGTAGATAAGGAAGACATTTAAAAAAGGGACGAGAAAATATAGGAAATAAAAAACGAAAACTGTGAAATGAATTGAAAGAAATGACGAATGAATAATTAAAAAATATTAAGAAAAATACTAACATAAAGAAAAACTTAAATGTAAAAAAAGAAAAAGATAAAGGTAATGGAGGAAGAAGTTTTGGGCATTGAATGAAAAAGCAATTGAAAGAGGTAGGCATTGAATGAAAGAAAAACTGAAAGACTTAGGCGTTTAATAAACCAAATATTAAGAGTTAGGCATTAAATGAAAGAGATTGAAAGAGGTAGGCATTGACTGAAAGAACGATTGAAAGAGTTAGACGTTTAATAAATAAAATATTAAGAGTTGGACATTAAATGAAAGAGCATTTGAAAGAGGTAGGCATTGAATGAAAGAGAGATGGAAAGAGGTAGGAATTGAATTAAAGATCGATTGAAAATTTAGGCATTTAATAAATAAACTATTAAAAGAATTAGGCATTGAATGAAAGAGCATTTGAATGTATTGAACGAGAGAGCATTTAAAAAATTAAGCATTCAATGAAAGAACGATTGAAAAAGTTAGGCATTTAATGAAAAAACTATTGAAAGAGTTAAGCATTGAATGAAAAAGCAATTGAAAACGTTGGGCATTGAACGAGAGAACAATTAAAAGAGTTAGGCATTGAATGAAAGAACGATTGAAAGAGTTAGGCATTTAATGAAAAAATAATTGAAAGATTTTTGTAGTGAATGGTAAACTAAAAAGAAAACACAAAAAGAAAAAACGAATAATATTATAAGTGTAATGAAAAGAAAGAAAGAAAGAAAAAAGAAAGAAAGAATTGACAAAAATAGAAAAAGAAAAATTAAATTTGAAAGAAGAATTTCGGAGAGAAACAGAGTAAGAGAAGAAAAGCAACAATAGAGATAAAAATTGAAAAAGGAAAAAAGAAAGGAATACAAATAGGGACAAAGAAAAGAAAGAAAGAAAGAAAGAAAGAAAGAAAGAAAGATAAAGAATGATAGTAGGAAAGAAAGAAAAACATAAAACGAAAGACATGAGGGATAGATAGATAGATAGATAGATAGATAGATAGATAGATATATAGATAGATAGATAGATAATGAAGAGACTGAGATAGATAGATGGATAGATAGATAGATGTGATGGTCTGAGATAGATAGATAGATAGATAGATAGATAGATAGATAGATAGATAGATATGAAATGACTGAGATAGATAGATAGATAGATAGATAGATAGATAGATAGATAATGAAGAGACTGAGAGATAGATAGATAGATGTGACGGTGAGAGATAGATAGATAGATAGATAGATAATGAAGAGACTGAGATAGATAGATGGATAGATAGATAGATGTGATGGTCTGAGATAGAGATAGATAGATAGATAGATAGATAGATAGATAGATAGATAGATAATGAAGAGACTGAGAGATAGATAGATAGATAGATGTGACGGTGAGAGATAGATAGATAGATAGATAGATAGATAGATAGATAGATAGATAGATAATGAAGAGACTGAGATAGATAGATGGATAGATAGATAGATGTGATGGTCTGAGAGATAGATAGATAGATAGATAGATAGATAGATAGATAGATAGATATGAAATGACTGAGATAGATAGATAGATAGATAGATAGATAGATAGATAGATAGATAGATAGATGTGGTGGACTGAGATAGATAGATAGATAGATAGATAGATAGATAGATAGATAGATGTGGTGGTCTGAGATAGATAGATAGAAAGAAAGAAAATCATATGAGACAAGAAAGAAAAAGGGAAATCCCGAAAGAACGAAAAAAGATGTCAAAGAGAAACAAAGAAAGAAATGAAAAAGTTAAGAAAGAAAGAAAAAAAGAAAGAAAGAAAGAAAGAAAGAAAGAAAGAATATAAATACAGAAAAAATAGAAATTTCAATGAAAGAAAGCAAAAGACAAGAAAGAAATAAAGAAAAATAAGACTTATAAAAAGTTAGTGAGAAAAAAAAAAATCCTAAGCAGTAAAAAGTAAAGATAATATAGAAGATTTGAATTCTGCAAATGACAGGAAAAAAAAGCTGTCGATTTCCAATCAAAATAACCGTAAAGCTCGACTCAAATTCCTCGGCCGCAGGGGGTTCAAATTATTTCCTTCCAACCAGAGTCACTAAAAGGCCAAGAACCAACAAAGTTCAATGAGAAAAAAACAAACAAAATCTATCCAATCACATACACAAAACACGCTCATGGACATGGTTGCATCTTTCGATCTTTTTCGTTTTCTTTTAGTTTTTCCAGAAACATCAGACCATTATAAAACATTAATTCACGGGGGTAGTAGCCTCATCTTGACTGTTATTATCACAAAGTTTCAAAAGCTGTTCTCTCGGGAAAGCTTCAGTTCTCATTCGTCGTGGGCAACCTTCCTCAGTCGACACAATATTCTAACGTGGTTTAGTGTTCTCTGTCCGCACACCATTCCACCTACCGTGGTTTTGTGTTCTCAGCCCTCACTCCATTCCAACCACCGTGGTTTATTGTCCTCTGTCCGCACACCATTCCACCTACCGTGGTTTTGTGTTCTCAGCCCTCACTCCATTCCAACAACCGTGGTTTATTGTCCTCTGTCCGCACACTATTCCACCTACCGTGGTTTTGTGTCCTCAGCCCTCACTCCATTCCAACAACCGTGGTTTATTGTCCTCTGTCCGCACACCATTCCACCTACCGTGGTTTTGTTCCTCCATTTCAACCGCTGTGGTTTATTGTTCTTTTTCCGTACACCATTTCAACTACCGTGGTCTTTGGTTCTCAGCACTCACTCCATTCCAACCACCGTGGTTTAGCGTTCTCAGTCCGCACACCAAGATATCTCGTAGCAGTAAATCTGTAATTTCCATCTGAATTTCTCAGATGAGAGGTTATCACTATTTACACTATTTTCAATCTGACTACTTTAATTTTACCATGACAACATTCTTCATCTTGTGCTTGCCGGTCCAATTAATCTCCAAGGTAATTAATGTTGAACTCTTTATGGGGTGGATTTAGATTGTCTTCGTGTCGCTGACCATGAACAAAAATAGAAATATCTCGTCTTGTTCTTTGTTAAGTTCTGCTCAGTTAATACTTGTTCTGTTTCTACTGAGTCCAGTTGTGCTCTGCTCAGACTAGGGATTGAACAATTACTATATCACTAAATTCACGAACCTATGATTTAATCTATTAGAATATTTTGCCCGGCAGTGTCCGGGATGTACACTCTCAATGGAAATATGGCTAGCAGTTCTGAACAAAACAAAAGACATTTCTGGAACAGATTAGCGGAATGAAAACCATCTATCTCTATAGATTAAAGTAAAGGTTCCGTTCAGAATTCCCTGAACGTTACTCGGATTGGCAAATAGCTGACGAAGTCCGAAAGGAATAGTGGCCGAAGCGTTGTGATAATAACAATAAAGATAAGGACAATAATTCGTATGTAAATAATTTAAGTTAATTGTTGCTTATATATATATATATGGTGTAAGAGCACAATTGTCCAAAGCGTATAAATGGAATTCCACGAGATTTTTATAACGCTATTGGACTTTGCTTTGAACAATAAGGATCTGTTAACCTCTAAGTATAAATGACCATCCCTCTGCATGTTTTGACATCACTGATCCAGTTTTCCTCTCTAGTGTTCCCTCTTTTTTAAACCTATTCGCTGTTCTCTTGATGGTTCTGGAATTCTACTTTGAAGATGGATGCCAGAGTATGAATGTTGGTACCATTACTGAAAGCCTGAATGATCATTTCCTCTCACCATTGCTCAGACACTGTGGGGCTGACACAAAATGATTTTAACCTGTTCTCTTTCTAACTGATTTATTCAAAATGTTTTCAGTGAATCTTACGACAAATGGTATCAAGATGGATAAACATCTTACCTGAAAACGAAAATCATTACTTATTTTAGTGGTCTTTTAAATATTTTGTGGGGTGGACAATTATCCTGTCCTGCTACACGATTTGGACAATGTTGCTGTTACACCGTATATATATATATATATATATATATATATATATATATATATATATATATATATATAAATAAAATATGTGGTGCAGTTCAATTTATATTACAATGAATCATTCATACAAAAAGTAGATTAGTAAAGTTAATGATATAAAATAGCGAAATCCCTTCGCTAACAAGATTTTAAAGGTGCATTAAACTACAAATCACTTGATGAATGTTATGATCCTTGTTTTTAAAAATTATAAGCTGTATAAGGACTTTCTTTAATACGCAAGTACTTTCAACTGTACATTCAGTCATCTTCAGGCATGGAAATTAGTTTGTTTTTGGTAAAATTCAGGTAGCATCCGAGACGAAAAAATTAAATGCGAGTTAAAGTTGAAAGTACTTGCGTATTATAGAAAGTGATATGTAGGTTAATGCACCTTTAAAATTTTGTTTGCGAAGAGATTTCTCTATTTGACATCGTTAACTTTACTAATCTACTTTTTGCATAAATGATTCATTGTAATATATATATACATATATATATATAGAGAGAGAGAGAGAAAGAGAGAGAGAGAGGGAGAGGGAGGGAGATAGATAGATAGATAGTATTTATCAATCCACCCACGGAGATCGAATGTGGCACAAGGCCTTTTTAATGTGGGTAACTCTGAGCCCGTAGGCCCAGCCAAAATAAATAACCATCCAAACCCGCCGAGGCGGGCCAGTTCCGTCAACCTCCCCAACAAAAACCCTACCCTTCGGCGGAGCTTGTCCGGGTTCCTCTCTGCAAGCAGAGAGTTCGATAGATACCCGACCCGGCAGCTCACAAAGCGTAGATACTACACTTTGATCCTAGCCACCGGGCCGAGCGGGTATTCTTTTTATAGATAGATAGATAGATAGATAGATAGATAGATAGATAGATAGAAAAGAAACCAAAAGCTATTATTCAGCACCTTCACATGCCTCTTTCATATTTACGTGTATAAATATTTGCTTCGCTTATTCGACTTACATATATTCTCTAAACACCTCTGAATGTGCTTAGATCGATTTAATGTACGAAACTTGGTTACTTTTAACTGGGAGGGTGGAACTAAGGAATGTAATTCGTCAGGACATTGACCGTGTATATAACGCTAGTTTAGCGAGAGTTTTGCAACGTTTAACCGAATATACGACTTGAAGTTCTTGCTTCGAATAGATCTAAACAGGCTTCAAAATGTTGCTTCAAAAAAGACGATTGAAACGAAATTAGAAAAAAATATGTCGGAAAGAAACAAGACTCGAAAAGAAAAGCCCATTGCAGAAGAATACTACCATGTAGGGGGATGATAATAGCAGTACAGCAATCTTTTCTTTTCTCGAATAAATCTTAGTTTACTTGATTTTCAAGCGCTCTACGAGGCTGGCATCCCGCTCCCACCCTTACACTATAGAAACTTTTAAATGTAGCCGTATCTTCTACTCTAATAGGTTCATACCTCGCACCTCTCGCCTGTGGAACACCCTTCCCAATTACTGTTTCCCTGAGATCTATATCTCCAACTATTCCAATGTAATGTCAATCGACATCTCCAGTTACCTTGATCTCTGGGAACAGAGGATAGTCAAATCTGGAGACTAGGGAAGGTGATCAACCAGTTTAAAGCCTCAGTCACGCAGAGCATCCATTAAAACCTAGGACTTGTATGCTGGAGAATTCTTATGAAAGCAATCGCCTCTCGAAATTTTTCCTGGGATATGGTTTTGATAGACTTTCGTATCAGCTTCAGCAAGTTAACATAATACTCTCTGCTGATTGTGTGTCCATTTTCAAGTTAATGAAGACGATGCCATTTGTATAACAGAAAACTGAGTCCATCACCTTCCTCGCAGATGAAATGACCATGGCCTGTTTTAGAGCAGTTGAGGAGGTTTTCTTCCACTCCATGCATTGTTTCTGGCTCATGGGTTAGGAAGCGTTCAAGGAAACCAGCTGGATCTGCGTAAAACAGTGACAGGTATTCTCGTGAATTAATGCATGGAAGATTTCACAGATCTAGCATTACTCCTTAATAGTCAGCCTATGAACATTTCAGCCCATCTTCATACCTGTAAAGAAACAATTCAGTTATTTTTAAGAAGAGTTGAAATTGGTGCATACTAGATTTCATAGTGCTAGCATCACTCCGTCATAATCAACCTATGAACATTTCAGCCCATCTTTGTGCCTCCTTACAATTCAAATGATATTTTGTCTTCTTTTCTCATGTCTTATGTATAAGACTGTACTCAGCTGTAATTGAACCAACATAATTAGACTGATCTACTCGTAAATAATAGGGAAAACACTTATTGAAACTGATTTCTTTGGAAGATTAGCATTCATCCAATATTTCTGAAGGTGACACATGCAACCGCATGTAAACCTCATTGGCAGACGATGCACTCGGAAATGTTACAAGATGGAAGAAGACTTTGAACATTTAATTCGAATATTTATTTCCTGATTGTTTTCTTATCAAATGAAATGACATAGTTCCCTATTGATAATTTTATTACAAGAATGCATTGTAAAGGATTTTATTGTAGGAATATATTGTAAATGATTTTTCTACAAGAATGAATTGAAAATCTTTTTATAAGTATTCGTTGGAATTATTTTGCTATAAGAATGCATTATAAATGTGTTTACTATAAGAATGCTTTGTGATTTTATAATAAATTAATTTACTCTAAGAATTCTATGTAAATAATTCTATTATAAGAATATATTATAAATGATTTTATTATAAGAAAGCATTGTAATAATTTTAATATCAGAATGCATTGTAAATGTTTTCATTATAAGAATGCATTGTAAATGATTTTATTAAAAGAATGCATTATAAATGATTATATTATAAGAATGCATTGCACATGATTTTATTATAAGAATATATTGTAAATGATTTTATTATAAGAATGCATTGTAAGTGATTTTATTATAAGAATGTATTGTAAATGATTTTATTATAAGAATGTATTGCAAATAATTTTGTTATAAGAATTCATTATAAATGATCTTATTATAAGAATGCATTGTAAATGATTTTATTATAAAAATGCATTGTAAATGGTTTTATTATAAGAATGCATTGTACATGATTTTATTATAAGAATGCATTGTAATTCATTTTCTTATAAGAACGTATAAGAAATTATTTTATTATAAGAATGCATTGAAAGTGATTTCATTAAATTGATTTATTGAGCATTGCTTACACGTGGAACAAGGCCAAAATACAAGAAGGATCGAACTCATGACTCTGACGCAATTAATCTAAGGAGACAAGATAGCTAACAAATACACCACTTCGAAATGTTCTATGTGCCTATTATAAGAATGAATTTCAAATGAGTTTATTAAAAGAATTCATTCTAAATTATTCTGTAAGAATTCATTGAAAATAATTTTAAATATAAAATGCTTTAAAAATTATTTTAATACCAACTTTTTATTTACTCGGCGACAAAACGTGAAGGAGATAAAAAACATTATTATGGCATATTCATTTAGCAATTTTTATCAATTCTTTTTATTTTACAGCTGACCTGAAAACTGTATACGTCGCTAAAGATTCTGTTTTCTTATTTCTCATGCTTTACATGTATGTGTATATATATTATATTTTATTTATATATATATATATATATATATATATATATATATATATATATATATATATATATATATACATGTACATTAAATTTATAAATACACACACACATATATATATATATATATATATATATATATATATATATATATATATATATATATATCACATTATGAAAATTCCGACAATTATTTTAAGATTTTTTTATAATGTTTATATTGTTCTTTTTATAGATACAAATATTTGTTAAGTAAATGCTCTATTTATAATGAATAGTATTAATAACATTTACCGGCCTGAATATCTGAGAAATTTTCATAGAAAATCTGCGTCCTCCGACTGAAATCTTTTCTATGAAGATATCTCGGACATTCAGGCCGGTAAATGTTGTTTAATATTGTTTATTATAAAACATAGCATTTGCTTAAATATTTGTATCTATAAAAAGAATGTATAAAATATATATATATATATATATATATATATATATATATATATATATATATATATATATATATATGTATGTATGTATGTATATGAATGATAATACTCGTTTTGAAAAAACTCGGTTAGCTCAAATTGTAACATAACAAACTGGTGTCCGAGGAAAAAAATCAAAATAAAAAAAAAGAATCAAGAACATAACACTGCACGAATCCCTCGCATAGGTTTATTATTATTTTCTTTTTTTTTTTTTTTTTTTTTTTTTTTTTTTTGTCACGTGGTCATGGTTTTATTTGGTTTTATCAATAAATATTGTTCCATTATTGGCCTTTTTACCCAGTTTTACCCTGAAGATCCATTTAGGTGAAACCTAAGTAGGTTTGTCTGTCTCTTTAGGATTATTTTAGTTTTATTTTAATTTATATATATATATATATATATATATATATATATGAGATGCGATGAGAACCAAAGTAATATATAAATTCAAACGTTCACAGCATTAATACAAAAGAGGGCTCGATATCGATAGTAGAGCGATAATTATTTATTTATTATAATTTTTTCATATAGACAAAAGCATTTTACTCACTACAAAGATGTAACATTTCAACTGCACTTCGTTTTTCGATTCTCACCCGTCGAAGTGCATTTGAAATGCACTAAACCAAGTTGCATCTTTGTAGTGAGTAAAATGGTTTTGTCTATATGATAAAATTATAATAAATAAATATATGTAAGAAATTGTGATGAGAAGTAAGGAAACCGAAACCTTACCGACGTATACAGATTTCAGTTCACACACACACACACACACACACACACACACACATATATATATATATATATATATATATATATATATATATATATATATATATATTATAAAATGAATTAAGTCCGACATATTTCAATTTGTTTCGATTAATCGTTTAGATGATTTGCTCTCGTATATGAGTATCTGTCTAAAATAATGTTTATGCCGAACAAATTAACATTGTCTCCCTCTATCAATTACGACTGAGTAGTGAATTCAATCCTCACTGGGTGTCCATACTTTAGGCCTTGTTCTACGACTAAGCAATGCTTAGTAACTTACTATTGCAGGGCGCTTCTATGTGGCGCAGTGGTTAGCAAGCTTTTCTCCCGAGATCAATTATGGCTGAGTAGTGAGTTCGTTCCTCACTAGGTGCTCTTTAGCTTGGGTCTTGTGTCACGTCTAAGCTACTCTTGTTAAATCACTATATTTATGTATGTGTGCGCACACAGCCGCGATTTATGGAAGTTGTTTCTTTCCAATGAGCCAGTCAACCTGACACGAGTCCCTTTTCTCTGTCCAGCAATCATCAATGCTGACGCCTTTATGGTTGTCGGCCTATAGTATTTTATAGGGTTTTGTTTTTTTTAATAGATTCTGTTTTTGCTAATGATTTTAGCAGCTGAAGATCGGCATTTACGAAAAATACATCAACTCAGCCAAATCGGAAATTCAGTTTGACTGTTTGATTGCTATGTCCGACTGGGACCATTTTGTTTTTGTTATGTCTAACTCTCGGAAAAGGATCACTCAACTCAGTGGTAATCATTTCGTTTTTACCATACCATTGACCGTATTATAACGCAGTATCTGATACAGCACTGGTCTATTCATTCTTCTACTATTTTCCCGCGTCCCTTCTGAACGTCGGCAATCATGGCACTCCACATTTTCCTGTCCATTGTTGCTCTTAATAAAATTTGTCATTTTATTATCTCTGCTAAATAATGTTCTGACAATCATGATAGGTAACCTATTCCTCGATTTCCTCTGTCCCGTATGTCGTCAATCTGTCCTGTGAGGATCTAAGTTTCCAAAACCTCTTTCCTCATGACTTTCCGTAGAAATTTCAACTGTTGCTTTCTGGTGTTAAGTATCCCTTTTGTTTTTATTTTTTCTGAAACTTTGTCGTTGCCCACATGATCAGTTCAGGTTATTCTCAGCATCGTTATGTAGAAGCACACTTGTGTTGCTTCAAATCTCTTCTTCATCTGCGAGGAAAAAGGCCCAGCATTTACTGTCATATATGTGTGAAAATATTACGTAAAAAGTCAGTAGTCTTTTCTTTACACTATTTACATTATTCGGACTATTGTCCTCATCTTTGTTGCCATATTTATGACAACTTTTCGGCCGTTGTACGTTCCGGCCTTCTTCAGGTGGTTAGAATGTCGAACTGAACCCTTTATTCCGCTCACTGGGGTAGATTGTTCTAGTTCCACTTGCAATGTTTAATGGATGTCAGTTATCTCCTGTTAATTCCCATCTGAAAGTTCTCCACTGCCTTAACCGGGTATTGAACTCACACTCTTTGGGAAGCCTTTATCCACTGTGCCATGTGTTGAGAAGAATAACTAAGTGGAGAACTTTCAGAGAGGAATTAACAGGAGATAACTGATAACTGACATCCATTAAACATGGCACGTGGAACTAGAACAGTCTACCCCCGTGAGCGGAATAAAGGGTTCAGTTCGAAATTCTAACCACCTGAAGAAGGCCGGAACGTACAACGGCCGAAAAGTTGTCATAAATATGGCAACAAAGATGAGGACAATAGTCCGAATAATGTAAATAGTGTAAAGAAAAGACTACTGACTTTTTACGTAATATTTTCACTCATATATGACAGTAAATGCTGGGCAATTTCCTCGCAGATGAAGAAGAGATTTGAAGCAACACAAAACGGAAATTACTTATGACTTAATCTAATATATCAACTCTTCCATTGTCTCCTATTTCAATAAAGGGGAACTGCTCACAGAGGGTATCAGGCTAAGTATCCTCTACACCAGTCAGTTCGCGCGCACCTTTCAAATTTGCCGAAATATTTCGCAACATATCATGAAAATATATTGAGTGACTGGAAAGAGAAAGAGAGAGAGAGAGAGAGAGGAAGCGAGAGAACGTATTAGAGAAAAATGCAAAACTCCAACACAAGAAAGGTAGGTGTGCCAGCAGGTATGCAACTGATAGTCTGCTAAATCTACGAATGGCTCCACCTGTTCTGTCAGGAGAGAAACCAAAGCAACGAACAAGATGCATGTAAGGCATTCGAAATAAAAGCGACCCCCCCTATTACAGTTCGCCAGCTGTTTGTGTAATAATCATCAATTCCTGCTCAATCTCGCCACGGCCTGTTTTTTATTTATGCTCTTTTGCTTCTTAAATTTTTTTTCCAGCTCGATGCCTCGATTGCTCTTCCTTCTTTTCGTTTTAACCTGAAGCGTTTCTCTTATATTGCAATTTGTTTGATCATATGTCGCCAGTCTCTTGACTCGTTATTTTAGAAGAATTTATTGCAATAACTCTCTTATAATGTTGCTAAGATTCATTGCCTTTTTCTCTTTTATTCACTTATCCACACTTATCTAGCCAAACATTTCTCAACCAGTCGGTGCTGTTTTTATTAATCTATCTGTCACTCACTTAGCCGTGGTGCAATGGCCATTAAACTAGTTTAGAAAACCGTTATTCCTACAGATAGTTCGTGTACCACAGAGGGTTCCAAACTAGTCGTTACATATCTATCTATCTATCTATCTATCTATCGCAGTCTTTTCATATCTATCTATCTATAACCGACTGTTCATATCTATCTATCTATCTATCTATCTATCTATCTATCTATCTATCTATCTCAGTCTTTTCATATCTATCTATCTATAACCGACTGTTCATATCTATCTATCTATCGCAGTCTTTTCATATCTATCTATTTATCTACATCCGACTGTTCATATCTATCTATCTATCTATCTATCTATCTATATATATATATATATATATATATATATATATATAGATAACTAGACTCGTTTCGAAAAACCCTCGAATTTTTTATTTGCTAATCAAATCAATTTCGAGGGAAAAAAGGTTTTAAAAAAAGAAAGAGCTACAAACATGAACTTCTGCCGACAAAAAAATCGCACAGATGCAGGTCTGAAGCCCAAAGAAAAAACCCCGATACGAGTAACAACTAACTAACAAAAGAGCTCAATACAACCGTAGAGCAGACCTTTAGATACATTAGTGAGCCAGACAAACCTACCTAGGTTTCGCCTAAACGGATCGTCAGAAAATTTTGGCTGACGATCCGTTTAGTTGAAACCCAGGTAGGTTTGTCTGGCTCACTAGGTATCTATCTATCTATATATATATATATATATATATATATATATATATATATATAGTGTCATCCCCAGACAGACTGTTTCGCTGGTTCAAAGCTGTTAAGACAAAACCAGTGCTTCAATCCGGAATCAAAATCCGACGGATTTGACATCAGTGAGATATCCTTCGCCTAGGTAGGATATATATATATATATATATATATATATATATATATATATATATATATATATATATATATATATATATATATATATATATATATATATATATATATATATATATATATAGTTTTAAGGTGTGCTATATTTATGGGATAAAGTGCTCAGTATCAGAGACAGAGCGTATGTAAATACAAATATAAAAGTTAATATTGAAGTCAACATTCATAGGTGACAGGTTCTCTCAGACATATTTGGATCTCATCTGTTATTTCGTCACCTGTGACAGTTATCTAACCAATAAGAAATAACCAAACACAACATAAAGTTAATCTGCGTCTCTTTGCTTTTTATCATATGTACCTTGATTTCTGATGTAGCTTTAATAAATTAAAGATGTTAGATTGAGATTTGTTTTTCACTTGTTCCTTATCCAAAACATTTTGTCGGTTTCCTATCCATACTTGATTTCTCTCCCCCTCTCTCTCTCTCTTTCTCTCTCTATATATATATATATATATATATATATATATATATATATATATATATATATATATATATATATATATATATATACATATATATATATATATATATATATATATATATATATATATATATATATATATATATATATATATAAATTAAATATATATATATATATATATATAAATACATAGAAGAAAAATCAAAAATTATCTCATGAATATTTTTGATTTCTCTGTTATGTAATTTATATGCTTTGTTATAATAAATACATTGAGCTCTTTTGTGGAC